AGGTATAGAGAAGAAATTATCGCTCCTTTTGTTAACCAGCTGGAAGAAAACGAAATTACAAACTTTTACTTTCAACAAGATGGCGCAAGGGCACATACGGCAGGCGAGACGATGAATATGTTGAGGGAAGTTTTCCAAAATCGACTAATAAGTCTCAATGCTGAACATGAATTTCCACCGAGGTCATGTGATATTACGCCGTGTGATTTCTTTTTGTGGCCTTACCTTAAAAACACTATTTTTGAACTGCCTATTCCTGATTTAAACCATCTGCAGGCTCGACTTATAGACAAGATTCGTGAAATTAACAATACCCCGAGCATCTTAGAAAATGTCTTTAATTCTTTGAGGAACAGGTGTGAAAAGTGCTTGGAACAAGGAGGGGGACACTTTCAGCAGCTGCTTTAATTTATTGTTATAACAAGGAGGGGGACACTTTCCGCAGCTCCTTTAATTGTTTGTTATTGTTATCACGATTATTCTTTAAAATAAAGTTATATAGTCATTAACGTTATTGAAACTGACAGTTGCTATACAGCTCGTTGAGAAATGATGTTAAGTTGGTCGCTATAAGCTACTCCCTACGTCCAATGGTCAGAGCCAATTTCGACCACGTTTTTATTTGAACGCTCGTTATTTGAAAAGAGCAGTGGAATATGCGATTCACTCTCCCACATAAACCTTACACTAAAGACTATTGTTATCAATTTTTTTTATTTATTACTGGCATTTGTTTTTGTTACTTTACCTAGATACAGTGTGTCCCTTTTCTGTAATATTTTCTATTTTTTTGAGCCATGTTTGACAGACCTATAACATTACCGACATTTTTTTTAATAGGACGCTCTATATTTACCTACTTTTTTGTCATAGTTCAAAGAAACGAAAAAAATTGACTTGTCTTTCTTAGCCCTAAAATGGAAGAAGCACAGGAAGCTGATACTGCCGTCCTTCAACCAGAGAATCCTGGACTCTTTCGTGGACGTCTTCACCGAACAGGCCATCGTCTTCACGGACATACTGAGGGCGTACGCCGGTCGCAAGAACATCGACATCAGCAAGCCTGTGTCAGCGATGATGATGGACATAATCTGTGGTAAGGTCCTTTCCTTTACAAAAAGTTCCCCTGGCAAAGTTTTCGCTTTCAGAAACCGCCATGGGACTAAAAATGAATACCCAGAGGGAAGGCAACGTATTTGCGATTCACTTGGAAGAGTAAGTGTTAAGTGGAGAAATTCATGGTTCCTTTAATGCACAGGGCGTTCAGCAAATACTTGACACGAAGTGTTATCGTGTTTCAGAATTATGCTGATCGCGACGATAAGGATATTTACGGTGTGGCATCACTTAGATTGGACCTGGAAGTTGTACCCTCTCAGCAGGAGGCTTGACAAGCACCTGGCAGGGTTTCATGAAGTCACCTCCAAGGTATGTTGCGTCAAAATGTTGTTCTAATAGTGTTCTCCAAGAAAATAATTGAAAGAAAATAATACTTCGAATCCGAAAATGCAATGATATACAGGGTGTCTGCGTTTTTTGTAGCAGGACCTTCACAACTTGTACTAAAAGTCCTTTTAAAAAAAAAGTTCATGTAAACATATATGTATAGATGCGTCGTTTTCGATTTGCAGTATTCAAGTTTAAAATGGGAATTGATTTTTTATTCGTAAAACGAAAACCCTTTTTTAGACTTTGTTGAAACTTGGCAACTTTGTTTGTAATTTAATACTCATTTTCTCACATAATTTAATTTATCCTATTTTCTCCAGTGGCGTCACAACAAGATACCAGCTTGATAAAAATAGAAAAAATATGGTACGCCACTGCTTTTTGATGTACAATGTCGCGTAAATTTTTGTAATTGGGTACTTAATCAGGTAAGAGAAAATCCAGAGTTTCTTAATAAAATTATTTGGACGGATAAGTCCTGTTTCACAAGTCGTGGTGTAGTAAATTTCCAATACTCCACGTTTGGGATAATGAAAATCACGTCTGATTCGACCTATGAGGTTCCAACAAGAATTTAGTGTAAACGTTTGGATGGGAGTGTTTGGCGATTTTTTGTTGGGACCTTACATCCTGCCCAACAGATTAAGCGGTCAATTATTTCTTGAATTTTTAACTGCCCAGCATGATAACATGCTAGACGATGTTCCTCTTCAACAACGAATAGACTCGTTTTTTCAATAAGATGGATGCTCTTCGCATTACTCTCTGGTGGTACGAAACTGGCTGAATACAAGAGTATCCACGGAGATGGGTGGGTCGTGGAGGTCCAGTTGGGTGGCCTCCGCGATCGCCTGATCTAACACCTTTGGATTTTTTTGTTTGGGGATTTATTAAGGATGCAGTTTACTCTACGCCTGTTAACTCGCAAGAGGAACTTGTACGACGAATCCGAAACGCTGCTCTCAGAATAACTCCACATCATTTGAGAGACGTTAGGCGGTCTTTGATAGGTCGCTGTAATTTGTGTGTAGAACGAAATGGCGGGCATTTCGAGCAGCTCCTTTAAGGTCCATTTATACAATAAGTTATTTTTCCATACCGTGTTGTTTATTTTTTTTTATTATCTTACAATAATAAACTGTGTGAAACAAAAAGTTTTATTTCTGTCTAAACAAAGCGAGATAGGAAAAAAGTAAATAACAAAAAGTTGTATCTTTGATAGCTAAATGTGAGAAAAATTTCAAACTTACCAAAAAGTAGTGGCATACCATATTTTTTTCTATTTTTATTAAGCTGGTATCTTGTTGTGACGCCACTGGAGAAAATAGGACAAACTGAATTTTGTGAGAAAATGAGTATTATTATTACAGACAATGTTGCCAAGTTTCAACAAAGTATAAAAAAGAGTTTTCGTTTTACGATTAAAAAATTAATTCTCATTTTAAACTTGAACACTGTAAATCGAAAACGACGCATCTATACATACATGTTTACATGAACTTTTTTTTTAAAAAGACTTAGTACAGGTTGTGAAAGTCCTGCTACAAAAAACGCGGACACCTTAGATAGGGTGTATCATTTAAAATAAGAAAGTTAATGTCTACTTCCAGTATAAGCGGAAGTGTCATAAAGTTCTATAGTCTGTTTGGAAATGAAAGAGAGTAATAAAACCCCGAGATAAGAACCGGCCATGGGCGTGCTAATATTTCGTTTCAGGTAATTATCGGGTAACACTAATGCTAACAAAAATGACAGGGATTGGAAAATCGACTATCTACAGACTTTTAAAGGAAACAAAAAATGAACAAGATACTGTAAATCCCCCAAAATCATCTACAGGGAGGTCAAAAGTCGTTATAGATGATTTCTTCAAAAATGTCATTCGCAGAAAAGTACACTCATTTTATTTTAAAAAAGAAATACCAACGCTAAACAAAATTTTAAGTGAACTTTCAGAGGACAACGATTTGCCAAAAATCAGTAGAAGCAAATTATGGGCCGTCTTACGAGAGTTGAATTTTTGCTGGGAAAAGCAGAACAGGAAGTCAGTTCTTATCGATAAAGATGAAATTATTTGTTGGCGAAGATCCTACTTAAGATCAATTAGAAAATTCCGTGACGAAGGGAGGAATATTTATTATCTAGACGAAACTTGGGTCAACGAGGGATATACTGTAACAAAAGTATGGCAAGATAAAAATGTAAAAAGTTTTCGACAAGCATTTTTGGATGGACTTTCAACAGGGTTCAAGGCACCTTCAGGTAAAGGGCGAAGATTAATAGTGACACATATAGGTAGTGCCAGTGGTTTTGTAGATGGCGGTTTACTTTTATTTGAATCTAAAAATACAGGTGACTATCACGAAGACATGAACGCAGATGTTTTCGAAGAGTATTTTACACAGATGTTGGATCTTATTCCTCCGGGGTCTGTAATTGTCATGGATAATGCCAGTTACCATTCACGGCAGACCGAGCGGACGCCTACGACTGCTTGGAGGAAAGCCGATATAATTCAATGGTTATCCGGAAAAAACATTTCTTTTGAAACAAATATGGTGAAAAAGGAACTTTTGACACTTGTCAATCTTAATAAAGATCAGAAAAAATATGTTATCGATGAAATGGCAACAAATCGCCAAATAACGGTACTACGGTTACCACCTTATCACTGTGAACTTAACCCAATCGAATTAGTCTGGGCGCAGGTAAAAGGAGATGTAGCGCGAAATAATACGACGTTTAAATTAAGTGACGTGAAAATTTTGTTAAAAAATTCCTTGGAACGAGTAACTGCAGATAACTGGCAAAGATGTATACATCATGTACAAAAAGAAGAGGAGAAAATGTGGGAACTCGATAATTTAATTGACGTTACTGTGGAACCTATCGTTATCAATCTAGGAGACGAAGATAATTCATCAGAATATTCAGAGGATGAATTTTAATATACCTACTTTTTTATTTTCTTTATTGTACATTTATACAACACTACATTTACTCACCATAATTTGAATTTTCAAAATACATATATTTTTGTGTGGAATAAAAGTCTATTCATTAAATTTAAATAAATATTTTGATAATAATATTGAATAATTTTATTTAAATTACTAAAAACCCTCTTAACCCGGTTATGATGCTTAAAGTAGCCTCATGTGTTGAAATGCTGTTTTTATATTGTTTACTTATAAGAGAAATGGACCGAGAAATTGAAGCGGCATAGACAAAGACAATTCAGTACAGTCCGATCGCACAAAGTTTTGTTAAAAGTAGACCTCATCTATACGGAAAATACATAATATAAAAATATTGAATATAAGCACCAGTACTACATTTATTTACGATTTGCATACATAATGAGCTTTTATTACTCTCTTTCATTTCTAAACAGACTATAAATTTTTAGCTGTGTTGGCCCAGCTGCCTTTGCTAGGTTGCCAAATTTTCCGATTGATCGGATAAGTACCTTCCGTGATATCGATAGTGGCGATTCCTGATGGAACACCCTGTATACATTCCTTAATCCCTTTTTTATCATAATGTTTTCAAATACTGATGTGGTTGAAGGTTATAAGAAAGAAACTGGAGGTTTTGGAGAAACAGAAAGAAAACAGGCGAGATTCCTTGGTTGCTGAATTGGAAGAAGGTATAACAAAAGCCATATTTTATACATGGTGTTCTACAAGCTCTATGACAAACTTTCACAGATGGTAGCTCGCTAAATTTTGTACATTTCTTGTATGAACGTAGAAATTTTATTTTTTAAAATGTTTGTAACTTCTAAACAAAAACTAATCGGATCTATGTTCAGGGTGTCTCAAAGTCGATAGTATGGGCCTACTGTGAGGTTACAAGAAATTTAAATAAAATTTGGGACACGTGGTGTTAAATGGGATGAGGTAAGGTCAATTTTCAATAGAAAGTATTATCTTAAAATAACGTAAATTACGTCAAATAAACATGTGTAGCAAGTCAAGATCTCGTCACTTCTTAAATTTCTCCATTTTACTGAAGATTTTAGCGATTTTCTGAATGTATTCAGCGATTTACGGAAAACTGAAGGGTGATGGACAAAACAGACTATGGATTCGTGCTCAGGAGACAAAAATACACGGGAAACCATATGCCGCATGTCAAGATCTCGTCACTTCTCAAAATTCGCCTTTTTTCTGAAGATCTTCAGCGATTTTTCGAAGACTAGACGGTTATGGAGTACTTCTGATATCGGAATCGGATTCAGGGTGGAAAATTACGTTAAATAAACATGTGTAGCATGTCAAGATCTCGTCACTTCCTAAGTTTCTCCATTTTACTGAAGATTTTAGCGAATTTTTGGAAGTATTCAGCGATTTACGGAAAACTGAAGGGTGATGGACAAAACAGACTATGGATTCGTGCTCAGGAGACAAAAATACACGGGAAACCATATGCCGCATGTCAAGATCTCGTCACTTCTCAAAATTCGCCTTTTTTCTGAAGATCTTCAGCGATTTTTCGAAGACTAGACGGTTATGGAGTACTTCTGATATCGGAATCGGATTCAGGGTGGAAAATTACGTTAAATAAACATGTGTAGCATGTCAAGATCTCGTCACTTCCTAAGTTTCTCCATTTTACTGAAGATTTTAGCGAATTTTTGGAAGTATTCAGCGATTTACGGAAAACTGAAGGGTGATGGACAAAACAGACTATGGATTCGTGCTCAGGAGACAAAAATACACGGGAAACCATATGCCGCATGTCAAGATCTCGTCGCTTCTCAAAATTCGCCTTTTTTCTGAAGATCTTCAGCGATTTTTCGAAGACTAGACGGTTAATTACGTTAAATAAACATGTGTAGCATGTCAAGATCTCGTCACTTCCTAAATTTCTCCATTTTACTGAAGATTTTAGCGATTTTCTGAAGGTATTTTTTGTATCCTCACAGTAGGCCCATACTGTCGAGTTTGAGAGACAGCCTGTTCATACAAGAAGAAATGTTTGAATTTAACCCTGCTGCCATCTGTCAAAGTTGGTCATAGAGCTTGTAGAACACCCAGTATGTACGGTGCAAGTGCTTTCTTTCAGGCGGAAAGAAAAAACTAGCGTTTCTGGATTTGATTCTGGAGAATTCAGATTTTACGGAACAGGAACTTAGGGAGGAAGTCAACATTTTTCTTATTGCTGTAAGTTATTTTAAATCGATGAAGGACAACTACCCTCCCAACTTTTTTCTAGGGAACTGACACTTCTGGTACCACCCTATGTTTCTTATTAGAAATGCTAGGATTGTATCCAGAAATACAGGTAATAAATACTACGATCGCTCGTTTTTGATGTGTTACGAATTTGTGCACGTTACAGCGAAAGGTCTACGAAGAAGTCATCGACGTACTTGGGGAAGAACGTTCTGTGGAAGCCTCGGACTTGCCCAGGTTCGTGTACTTAGAGAGGGTGATAAAAGAAACCCTGCGTCTCTTCCCGGTTGGGGTGTACTTCCTTAGAACCATAGGAGAAGACATAAATCTGGGTAAGAACAATATTGCATTTAAAGAAAAATTGTTGTATCTGTCGATCCTATGTATTAAAGCTTATATTAAAGTAAAAGTAATAAGTCAACAAATAACCTAAAATGCTACAAACTTACAATCTACCTACTTATTAATATTAACATTAACATTTATGGTAAAGCCGTAATTTGATGCCAAAGGATTATTGGAATCATTTTGTGATTGTGGTAAATTTATATAGAACAGGTTGCCCCTTTGCTTGTGCTTGCTTCAGGAGTCTGCACCCCTTGTATCTTTTTAGCAATATCAATTTTGATGGAAATTGACTCTTCTACATAATCTTCTGCCACGGTAGATGACTTCCATCTACCGTGGCGTTTGAGTGTTGTAATATCCCCTCCAGCATTGGCCAAGAGAGTTGCAGATGCGCGACGCAAGTCATGTCCTGTATATAAATTAGAATCTTTCAAGCCCAAAAGTCGCGCAACAACATTAGGGATTTTTGATAGCTTATTAATACCAACACATTGACGTGTGCATTTTCCCTTTTGAAAATTGCAAAAGAACCTTTTATGCTGCACATTTTGAGGCCTTAGTTTAGAATATTTTCTAATTAATTCAATTGGATTAACACAAAATCCTTCATTTAACACAACGAAGCTTCTTGGTTTGTTAGTTTTAGTATTTGAAATCATGATATGGATATACTGCCCTTTGTCCTCTATATTGTCTATGCTTAGATGGGTCAATTCCTCGCAACGGCAAGCGCCAAATACCCCTAATATCAACGCGACCTAAAAACAATCAATTTAATAAATATAACTCAGTTAAACTATTCAGTAGAACCTACCTTATTCATAGGATGATCTTCGTCTAGGGCTTCACCCAAAAATTGTTCGATTTGTTCTCTTTCTAAGACCTTGGATTTTTTTGGTTGAAAATGTTTGTGCTTAAACTTTAGAAATGCCACTAGTCTCTCGAATAAAGAAATTTCAATGTTCTTGTAAACTCTCAAGGTTGACTTCAACATGGAATATTTAGTCCACAATGGGGATGGAGCTAATTTCTCACTTAAATTGAAAAAATAAGCCAGCTAGGCATCTTCATTTACGCCTTTCACCCTTTCTTTGATGTTCCAATCTTGAAATTCCTTCAGTTCTTTGTTGTATGTAGATCTTGATTTCTCCGGAATGATGCCTGCAGTAGCCGCATTAGCTTTTTCTAAAATTTCAGATGGAATTTCCATATTTTCCATTTTTTCAGCCTCTGGCTTAGGATTTCAACATGATTTCAACTCAAAAAATATTGTTTGTTTACTGACAACCCTTGGTTACAGTCACACTGAAAGAAATGGGCTTATTAAACTCTTTATCTAGAATAATGTGTATAGCGCATATTAAAACTTTTATAACCAATATACAACTTTTATTAAAAAAAAGCAATCATCTCCATACTCATTATTCAATCAGTTTAACTGGAAGGTGCTTAATACACCTTATGCATCTATGAAATAAAGGTTATAATGAATTACTTATACATTATTAGGTGTTATAGACTTTATATTCCAGTTGTATAGTAGGGAAGATTTGTTGTATAAAGACCAGTATCCGAATTTGTATATAACAATTGTATTAACAGAATTATTCGTTCTTATACTGAATATGTTTCCGTTTTTAACGTGTAAAACGCATCTTATAATGGTTAAGTGATCGTCACCTCTCGGTGCATAATCGGTTATGATCGTTGTTAAGTTATATTCATAGTCTTGTAATAATAATCATATGTCAGACCCGAGAGCGAAGTGCGCCGACTCAATAAGAAACCTGGCTATTCCAGCCGCTGATTTAGGGTTCGCCGCACGAGCTCATCCCTTCTAAGATTTCAGTAGCATGCTATGCATGAAGCAGAACGGTACTCAACTATCTTATACAGTCCACTTTTATTGTCCATACATGTTCAATCATTGTCAAAATAAACACACAAAACCACAACGTCTTTATTATCTTTACTCAAGAAGAGAAAATACAACAATCGTAAAATTTCCGACAGTCCGCTGTGCATCGACTTACACACGTCTAGTTTGATGAAAATGGACAGTATATGCACATGTTTTGTGGGATACATGATCATATCGCGTTGTGTGAAATGGAAAATTATTATGTAAGTATCTAACTGTTTTATGGCTTGTAATTGTTTTGTTTTTTCAAATGTAAATCTTGTCTAAATCTTAAAAATTATTATTTTGTAGGTCCTATTAGAAATCGCTGATGTTAAGTTTTACATAAGATGGAGGAACAGAAGGTTAACGGTGACAAAGAAGAGCATGGGTATAAAGTCAATCAACCAGAGGAAATAAAATTATATGGAAAGAAGCTCAACCTTTCTGGGGATGCTTCATTCTTAAGGTGGAAGAGTTATAGTGCAAATTCTCATGTAATACAAGAAAATACGGGTGCATCGTTGCTAAGAAAATAAACTGGACAGTTTTGGGAGCGATTTGTCATCATTTTTAATGCTTAAAAGTATGTTTTATGTATGTTTACATTAGAACCTTAGCTTGTAATTACAGTTATCCAATAAAATTTCTGAAAACTTAATGACATATGTTTTTAACTCATACAGAGTATACAACAGTTTAATACATTTATTATTATAAAACTTATAACCAGTACTAGATGTTCTAATAACGATATGGAACACTTTAATAACAGTTATTGCTATTATTTCGTAAAGGGTATAAAAAACGTTGTATACTAGTTATACAATAATTTAATAAAGAATAAGGTTTATAGTCACTATACAACTGTGCTAGCAATACGCGTTTTATATCCAATATTCACCTGTTTAACTGTCACATATAGTATACAATGGTCTTTTAATGGTATATAGATTTCTAATAAAGAATAAAACGCATTTCTTTCAGTGTAGAATAAATATGTTTCTGTACTTCCTGCACGTATTTAGGAAACACCCAGTTTACTAAACACTGACAGTGTGCCCTTCCGCAGGAACATGCACCCTACCAGAGGGTAGTTCCGCCCTCATCAGCAGCCTGAACATCCACAGGAACCCTAAGTACTGGCCTGAGCCCTTGAAATTCGACCCAGACAGGTTTCTTCCTGAGGAGGTAGCCAAGCGTCATCCATGTTGCTACATCCCCTTCTCCTACGGCCCTAGGAATTGCATAGGTAAGAAAGTTATGTTAAATGACCGACGAGATGCCCCCTAAAGATTGTATTCCCTTCAGGTAACAGGTATGCCATGATGAGCCTGAAAACTATAGCGGCGACAACTGTGAGGAAGTACAGGATGTTCACTGGATACAAATCAGTGGAGGATATCGAGCTGATCACTAAGATCGTCATAAGACCTAGACAAGGTTACAAAGTCTATCTGGAACAAAGATAAATTGGATGTGAATATGTACAGAATAAAAACGATGTGTGAATTGTTTTAGTTTTATTTCTGGTAGTTGAATATTATTTGTCCAGCAGTTGTAGCATTATAGATGCCCTACAAGTTGGTTTTTGGTGGTTAAAGTCAAATTTCAATCACTAACGACTAAATTTTTTTAGTCATTAGAGAAGAGTAACGGCAACGGGTTCATTTTCTTTGTGAGACATCATTTCTTTAATATTTCTTGCCACTTTATTTGTAGAATAAGCAGCGTCAGCATTGTTGTTTTCAAAATTTTCTTCCCAATCTTGATTTTCTGTTGAAGAGTATCTCCGACATATCCTTCAGCTATTTTGTCTCTTTTCCAACCTCCAAAATGTTTCGATGTAGTGACATCTGACCATAATCTTTAATAGTTGTTTTACATTGACAATTTATTGATGAATTAATTCATGAAGTCGCTTCATCAAGAAATTGGACAGGTGTAATACACCAAATCTGCTGTTAATAACTCTATGAATTTATTCATCAAGTTCTTGACGAATTAGAGCATGTTCTAATTTTCGTCAATTTCTTCGTGAAGTTCGGAAGTACCAACTCAACAGATTTCCAGCTTCAGATCAGTAATGAGGTTATGTTATTGTAATATGTAAATGATTGTATGGCGTCGTACTAGTTTTGCATTGTTTTTACTGATTTGTTACTTACAAACACTAATATTTATATAATATGTGTCAAAACGGTACCGCTGTTGTGTCACTACACTTATGAGTGCAAAGGTGACATTTTTGAAATTTATTTGCTTCTTTGATTCGTTGGTAGAACTGATTCATGCGTCAAAAAACTTGACAAAGTCTGTAGCAGTGTAAAATCACACTATTTACCAATAAATTCGTGAATTAATTAATAATAAAGAACTTCGTCAATTTATTCATCAATAAATTGTCAATGTAAAACAGCTATTAGAAAGTTTGTATATGCTAAAAGAATGATTGGTACATGTTTCTGGATCTCCTAGTTTTAGGAACTTGGTAATATTTTTTCGAAATAATGTATTAAGTAAGTGTTATTAACTGATTAGTAAAGACACTTACTGACTGCAGTGCATATGACGTTTTTTTGCATGCTCAAATATTGAATAAATTTAATTGAAGCTAAANCACTGGATACAAATCAGTGGAGGATATCGAGCTGATCACTAAGATCGTCATAAGACCTAGACAAGGTTACAAAGTCTATCTGGAACAAAGATAAACTGGATGTGAAAACGTACAGAATAAAAACGATGTGTACGAATTGTTTTAGTTTTATTTCTGGTAGTTGAATATTATTTGTCCAGCAGTTGTAGCATTATAGATGCCCTACAAGTTGGTTTTTGGTGGTTAGTCAAATTTTAATCACTAACGACTACATTTTTTTGGTCATTAGGGAAAACTAACGCAAGGAGCTCATTTTCTTTGTGAAACAGCATTTTATTAATATCTCTTGCTACTTTAATTGTAGAATAAGCAGCGCACAGCATTGCTGTCTTCAAAATTTTCATCCCAATCTTGATTTTGTGTTGAAGAGAATCTTCGACATATCTTTCAGCTACTTTGTCTCTTTTCCAACATCTAAAATATTCCAAGTAGTGACATCTGAGCATAATCTCTAAGAAAGCATATATGCTAAAACAATGACTGGTATATGTTTCTGGATCTCCTAGTTTTAGGAACTTGGTAATATTTTTTCGAAATAATGTATTAAGTAAGTGTTATTAACTGATTAGTAAAGACACTTACTGACTGCAGTGCATATGACGTTTTTTTGCATGCTCAAATATTGAATAAATTTAATTGAAGCTAAAATTAATATTTTAAGCCATTTAGCATGAATAATCAGGGTTTGTGGTTATTTACGTTTCACATTATAAATTATTTGTATTTATCTCTCTTATCTGTTGAAAATATGATAACTTTTCCATTTGTTAATGTTTATGAACAACCTTGCAATTTAAGTATAAAGATAATACAAATAATTTATAATGTAAAACGTAAATAATCACAAAACCCGAATCTTCATACTAAAGCTGTAATTGCATATTTGAAAATAACTTTTAATTCAAAATAACTTTTCTTTATAACACTCTTCTGTATTGTGAAAAATAAGGGTACTTCACTCTTGAGCAAAATTCATAATTTCTGATATACCTCGTATATGACTGGGAAATTTTGATAATTCAAGATTGCATTCTAGATTTTAGACCATGCGGAACTTTTTATGAAGAATAACTTTTTTCCATAAAACCAATAATAAAAAAGTTTTCCATATGGTTCCAACTTAAGTAGACACACTGTATAACACCTATTAAAGTTCTTGAAAAAAACTTTAAATTGAGTGGTGGTAGAAGTCGTTAGCATGAAAACTAATGAAGTTACAATCAAAATAAAATAACTGTCTTGATTTTTGAGAAAAAAAAATCGATATTAAAATTAATGACTTGACGGAAAAAAAAATTTAACGTATTTCTTCTGCAATTTACTTTATTTATGTATTAACAGTATATTCTGGGAATTTGAACGATTTTAGAAGTTTGAATTTAAAAAAAAAATCATTTACTTTTGGATAAAATTTTTCAATTTTTTAAAAAATCGCATATTTTTCAAAATATTTCAAAAACTAACAAAGTTATAAAAAAAATGATAGAATAAGAAATTGTAGGTTTTTTTCTTACTGAACAATTTGCTTTTTTTAAATTTTTGGGCAAAATTTGACTGAGTTATAGGGTGTCAAACTAAAAAATAAGAAATTGTTTTTCCTTAATAATTTCTATAATTTTAGTCAGAAATGTTTCAAATTTACAACAGATTTTTTTTAATGATGGGAAAAATAATATAATACTGATTTTTGGCTAAAGTCAACCGTTGAAGACATATTTTTAATTTCATAAATTAGTGTTACCTTAGGCAAAAAAGTTACTACATATTCAATGCATAACGATGCCTGCAGAGGGCGCCTCGTACTCGACACTCAAAAATCATTATTATATTATTTTTTCTATCTCAGTAGAAAATTTGAAACATTTCTGACTAAAACTATAGAGATTATTAAGGAAAAACCATTTTGTATTTTTCACTTTGATATCCTGTATCTTTTTTATTACGCAACTTGAGATATAAGTTTGTTAGGTTAAATGGACTTATTTTCAAGGAATCTCTGGAATCATTTGTACCCCTCCATTTAAATACACCCTGTATACACTTTATTGTCACATAATTGAACCGAACGGATCGCTCAGTGCCATCGCATCCGACATCTAAGCGATAGAGTGGGAGTTCAAACACACAGACGGCATTTTTTCCTTTAATAACAGTTTTACAAGACATATTGTACGATACATTTGTTAAAAGTGACATTTTATTTTGTTCGTGAAGTTGTTACGCTCGCTCAGTAATATTCCGCACTCACAAAATGAAATGTCACTTTTAACACTAAATTTTGTCATAAATAACTATTAAACATATAAAACAATCAAGTCGTACATGAAAAAGCTTTCGCTTTGGTTACTATGAGAGCGAATATTTATCGTCAAGTGACATTAGAAATTTGTCCAAGATATTTTTGCCGCAATTTAAGCTTCTTGTGAGTTATGATTCAAGTAAGTGAGAGTCCAAAGAGAGTACGAGAATATCTTCAAGTTATTTGCAGGCAGCTGGGTGTAACAAGAAAAATTTTGAAAATATCACAGGAAAGGTCTATTTCGTTTCAAGAGATGTAACCGTAAAGTCTCCTTGAAGCTTATGGGTTGATTACTCTATGCTCAAAGCTACAATATGTCTTTTTTTAAGAGGAAAAATATTTTACAGAAAGTAAAAAGATAAAAAATCTTTACCAGAGAACACATGTACCAGTTTTTAAATAATTTTCCTGATGAAGTCTACTTAAATATAAAAGTAGGAATGATATTTGGAATAGCAGAGGCATAAAGAAGGGAAGAACTATATAAATATGAAAATGAATGACATTGAAGATAATAATAGTAAATGTTTTCGACACTGAAACGCATAACAGTTAACTATTTGGAATTTTATCAAAATTTGAATAATTCCAAGTATTTCGAATTTTCACCACCAAGAACGGCGGTGACAACAGTTTTAACTTTAAGGCGATGTTTCGCATTGTATTAGCTATGTCCTATAAAAATTTTCAATGTATTTTATGGCGATTATCTTTCAGGCGTTGATATTGCTATTTTTTTTCTACGTAGGCTTGTGTCAAATTTTCATGTCAATAAATATTAGCGTATTTTGCGTGCTTGTGATTTATTATTCGTGCAAAATTATTAGCTAGTGATAAAAAATGTCACGACATAATAATTTTTCAAAGATGCGTGATATGATTTGTGTTTTTGCCCAGGCTAATTTTAATGGAGATGCGTCGACCCGAAGATATGAACACATGTACCCTAATGGCCCATTTACACGAGGCCAGTTGTGAAGACATTCCATTAAGCCAATCCAATGACAAAGTTGAGGACAATCCAATAAAAATTCAATTGAAGTTTACACGTAGGCCAGTCCGTCATCCGCCAGGCTAGTATCTTTGTATAATCTATGTGGTCTAGTATATACGGTTGTGTAGAATGGATAGGCTAGGGCTAGGCTAGGCTTGGCTAGGAACGTACGTTCTCACAAATGCCATTACACAAGCCAATCCACTTCTTGAGTGGTGGGGGACGCTATTGGCTCCTAAAATTAGAAACCGTTCTAATTAGTGGAGTGGCTTGGGACAATGGCTGGAGACATTCCATTTACAGGACTGTCTCATTTACACGATGCCAATGTTGGATTGGCTTAGTGGAATGTCTTCACAACTGGCCTTGTGTAAATGGGTCATAACAGATTGCAACCTAATTACAAACTATTCAGAAATCTTTCCTCATCGGTGGATTTTGCGTGGGAGTGAATTTTGTTGGCCACCGAGAAGTCCAGACTTAAACCCTCTGGACTTTTCAGTATCGTCAAACTTGAAGGATGTGGTGTATCGTGAAGAAATTAATTCTGCTG